TCTTATGCTTTGCAATTACCATTTTGCTTCACTGTATTTCCCATTTCAGTAAGTAAGGATTGATGTCTCCTAGGATGACAGTGATTCTTTGTTTTCATTTAACTCTCTCAATCTTTTCTTTGTGTGATTGGGAAGCAGGATGTCCATTGTGAATGTATTTACTCTTAATTCAGAACCTAGGGAAAGTTTTTTTTCCCTCAATTTTGCCTCTTTTCAAAGGCTTTTTAAAATTTAAAACATATTCTATGTCTTATAACTGTCTTAAACTATGTTTTGTGTACTATAATTTAGACAGCCCAGGTTTTGTTTGATTACTTTTGAATGTGTCATTTTTATATCCTTTGGCTTTCAGTATGTGTGTGTCCTTAGATTTAGTGTATCMTGTGGACTACATACAGTTCTAATTTTTAGAGTTAATTTAGATAGCAATGACTTCTTTTCATCAGAATTTTTTAATCTTGAATTTCCCAACAAAAATTATTTAAAATGAAGAATCTTCTACTCATACTTTGTATAAGTATCTACTTGATTTCACCTTATTAACAATTCAAACTATTTGTATCTTTTCAACGCTATATTATTGTTACAAGTGTATATGCCTATTAACAGTTTTGTTTTTATACTTTTGTCTTTCAATTTCTTTTGCAAAATTAYGTCTTGTGACCCATCATTACAATAAAATAGAATTGTTTGTGCCAAGAAATGTTTAGAATTTCATATGACTTGTGTTGTTGTGCACACTTAGATTTCAGTATGAAGGATTACCTTTTGTACTTGTGGAGAACAGATCTAGTGTTGATGAATAATGTGTGCATTCATATCTTTAAAGTCTTTATTTTCCTTCTATTTTGAAAGATAATAGCTGTGAATATAATGTTTTTGTTGATAATTTTATTCTTTCATCTCTTGAAAATAGCCCTGAATTTCTTACTGTGTTGTGAAGTTTTGATTAAGGATTTCACAATTATATAGTTACACATTTCTAGGTGACCCGTATTTTTCACTTGGATGCTCTGAATATTCTCTATAAGTTTTAAAACTGAGATTAAAACCTGCTTTGAGTCTTTACAACTTGGAGATGATTGAGCTGCTTGGATGTTTTATTTTTTTATTCTCTTTGATGCATTTGTTAGTATTGGAAAGAAAACTACAACTTTGTATATTTTACTTWGGCTGGAATTGAAATTTTGATCCTACTGGCTCAACCTTCTATGTTAYTATGTACAACCACCCATGACTCTTTCAGACATTTTCTAAAKAAAGTCTTTAAACATGCATTTTCTGCTTATTTCTGTTAACAATTCTTGACTACATTTTGTTCTATTTTTTGTGTGTTTATTTAGTTCAGTAAACTTCTTTTAAATGATAATTTACTATTCCCTTTGAGTAATTCATAACTTGTTATTCTTACAGTAGATTTAGCCATATTTATTTCTGTTGGTAAGCAGGAACCCCTTTTTGACCAGTCCCCAAATATTCACATGTTTCATATTTTTCTTTTTTAATGAAACAGAGGTAAATTGGTAGATTTTTAAAATATATTGTTAACGAGAAAAAGCTTTGTGTAACACATGTATTTTCCTCTAATATATTACTCTCCRTAGTAAGGTACTCATCTCGGATACTGTGAACACTAAGATGATTTTAAATGTTCTCAAAGTAATTTTCTGTGTACATTTTTATTTGATTTATATATTTCTGCATTAACAGTGGGCTTAGATTTAATACCCTACTCCCTATATTGTTGTAATTTCCTATGTTTGCAAAATATACTCAGCCCAGTACAGTACGTAAACATGATTATTATTTTTATTTCAGCCATAACTTCTCATCATCCTCAAGAAATGCCAACAGAGCAGGGAATAAAAGAGGGAGAGGGAAGATATGGAAAGTGTGATCTTGACTATTTACAACTAAGAAAACAATGGGAAAATATGGGTGAGAGTAAAGTTCAAAAAAATCGTATTATAATGGACAAAACTAATTACTAGTTCATATTTATGATAAAAATTTTATGGTCAAAAGACACCAGGAACAATTAATAGCTGAAAAAAATTCAGTCTATTCCAATTACTTTTGAGGAGCTGTGTGTGTCTTTAAGAATATATCCACAGCCATTTTTGAAGTGAAAGGAAATATGGAAAATTTGAAATCGGGTCCATGCAACAGTTTTTAACTTGCCCAATTATAAATGTAGCACTGAGTTAAACTTCCAGTCAAACATTTGCACAGAGAAGATATTTCTAAAAGTGATATTTTGAGAGTTTCTTTACAAAATGACCATTTTCTGAAACTAAAGAGTAATTTGTACTTGTGCACAAATAAACAATATTAAGAATTGTAGAAAGGTTYCTACTTCCCCACTATTGCTCAATGACAATTCTGATACAGATTTCGGAAAGTGCACTATATATAATGCTATAAGTAACACCATTAGCCATTTCTCTACCCTGAGTAATTACCAGTATATTTAYATTGGTGATAAAAATTATGAATATAGAGAAACTCCTAGTCATTTTCTAAAGAAAATTTACCAAGATGAAAAATGTAGGAAAGTCTTGCTTCAGTGTTCAGGAACTATTACTCATCCAAATGTTCATAGTTAAAACAAAACCTGCAAGTGCAAGGTATGTGAAAGGGCTCTTAATCACAGTGCAGAGCTTGCTCAATTCAAGAGAATTTATAGAGAAAGAGAGCTGTATAAGTTTAAAGAATATATCAAAGAGTCAGCTTGCTCAACATCTATTAAACACAGTAGATACTATGACAGTGAAAAACCCTTAAATTTAAAGAATGCGGAAAAACTTTTAGTGAAAGGTTAGAACTTGTTAAGCATCAGAGGATTTATACTGTAGAAAAGACCTGTAAATGTAAAAAGTGTGGCAAAGCCATAAAATGTTTTCAACTCTTACTCAACACCAAAAAATTTATTCTGCAGAGAAGAACTTCCAATGTGAAGAATGCAAGACACACAAAAACTTTACTCAACATCACAGTGTTCATACAGAAGATATGCCATGTAAATGCAAAGAACGTGACCAAACTTCTAATAAAATCGCCAATCTTATTTGTAACCAGTGGACACACACTGGAGTGATGCCCCACATATGTGAACAACTTTTGAAACTTTTAGTCAAAAACCAAGCCTTAAAAATCGCCAGAGAATTCATACTGGAGAGAAGCCCTACAAATGTAAAGTGTGTGGCAAAAGTTTTAATGCAAACTCACAGCTTAATCGCCACAACAGGATTCATGCAGGAGAGAAGCCCTACAAATGTCAAGCGTGTGACAAGAGTTTTAATAGAAACTCAAATCTTGATCGCCACAACAGGATTCATACTGGACAGAAGCCCTACAAATGTCAAGTGTGTGGCAAGAGTTTTAATCAAAAATCATCAGTTACTCAGCACAAGCGAATCCACATTGGAGAGAAGTCCTACAGCTGTAAAGAATGTGGCAAGGCTTTTAATAGCATCACACTGTGTAATAAGCACAAAAGTATTCATACTGGAGTGAAGCCCTATAAATGTAAAGTGTGTGACAAAAGTTTTAATAAAAACTCACGGCTCAATAGCCACAACAGAATCCATACTGGAGAAAAGCCCTACAAATGTAAATTGTGTGGCAAGAGTTTCAGTCAAAAATCATCACTTACTCAACACCAGCAAATCCACACTGGAGAGAAGCCCTACAAATGTAAAGAGTGTGGCAAGAGTTTTAATACAA